TGTCTGTCTGTCTGTCTGTCTGTCTGTCTGTCTGTCTGTCCGTCTGTCTTTCTGTCTGTCTGTCTCTCTGTCTCTCGGTCTCTCTGTCTGCCTCTCTCACGGAATTCGATACTACCTGGAGAAACACCTGGAAAGGTCGGGTCAAGTTTGCAATGCGTTTAGCACAGGATAAGAACAACAAAGCACATGTGAGCCTTTTGGAGCTCCGCCCCCAAAAGGGAGAGCATGCGCCGGAGTTGGGCGGTGCCATGGGGATATCTTTCCCATTCGGTCTCATAGCAGTCCAGACACCGAAAAAAAATGAACAAAGGTGAGGGATGGGTCAACAATCAAAACTAATTAGATTCACCAGTTGTTGGCGGAGTTCTCGCAGTAGGCGGTTTTTTCCACACAGGTTCATAAAGGTAATTAGGCCAGGAAAAAAATTCAAACGAGTGAGCAAGGCCTCATGCGTGCTTGGCATGCGTAGGCTTGTTGAAGTCCAGCCCACGATGGGGCGGGGGGACGTGCGTTAAGATGAAAGTTACTGTTTAGAAACGAATATAACTATGTTTGGAAACGTTCTAGAATGCGGGAGAAAAGTGTTCAGAGGAAATGAAGCAAATGTGGTCAAATCCTCAATATGGGCAGGGACTGCGTTAAACTGGGCGGGGTTGGTTAAAAAATCATAACCCTGTTCAGGAACGTAGAACGCGGGAAAAAGTGGTTATATCCAGTAGGAGGAGCGCGGCTGTTATGAGCTTGCACGAGGTTGAATTGGATAAAGGATAAAGTTTTTGGTGTTGATCAATCCCGTCTAAAGGATGCGCTCCCGCATTCGACTTCCATTCAGAATCGTAGTGGCGTAGTGAAGGCGTATGTGGCCTATACAATGACTTGCGGTGGACTTGGTTTGCCCAGGCGGATATCGAGCAGGGATTCGAACCCCTGACTGTGCGTGTGCATGTGCGCCACTTTCCACAACACCTCGCCCAATCAATCCGAGGTCGGATCAACGTCAGTAATTCATAACAACGTTTAAAAACTCTCTAGAATGAAGGGAATACGGTTAGCGGCAGTTGAAAAGGGTGGTCAAGCTTTAATAGTGGGAAGGGTCTGCCCTGAGGTGGACGGGCTATGATCAATCATTAATAATTCAGCTCAAGTGAAATATATGGAGCGTTTTGCTCTTGATTCTATTCGGCGTCCAGATCTAAAGAGAACTATCTTATTCTGGTAATCCAACATTCCGCCGAATGACCCCATCGTAGATGAGCGGACGTGAACATATAATGCACGCGTTAGCGTGTATAGCCCAACTGGTGTATAAACAAATAAATAAATGTAAATATATGTAAAGGCCTTATATATGTGTTACGTACAAAGGCCTTATGTATATGTATAAGCTAACGCCTTGGAGGGTGAAATAGGTGACGAATTCGGCTACCACCACTCTTTTCAAGATGCAGCCACACACTTGACCTCAAATCTGATTTTCAGTGGCGAGTGAATTCGTGTGTGAAAGCACATTATCTTGCAGAGCTAAGCCATTTTTATGGAAGTGTTTTTGAGTATCCAACCAAGTTGGGTACCCACAAAATGGAGTGTTCATTTGTAACATTCGAGTGCTGTAAGATTCAAATCAGAGCTGTAGTAAAGGCTTACATCACAGTACCTCATCACACAATCAGAGCGAAATCGAAAATGAAATCATCATCTTTTTTAGGATCATCTCCAGCGAAGCCATTGCCCGGCATCGATGGACAAGATCACTATGTTTTTGGATGAGATGATTGATCAGCTGAATACGCTTTGATTTCACAAGCCACTACTTGTGTGCAAATGACCATTTTTACTGCAGAATGTTTGTTGTACAGAGACGTGTATAAAATAATATTAATGGATCCACGTCGTGAGTCAATCGAGCATGTTAAACGGGATCCTTTTCTTTCCATGATGTCCTCATATTCTTCCTAAAGGAATGTTTATTTTCTATCTACCCTCAATCTATATCAATTTGTGACGGCAGTCATAGGCCCATGCCGTGGACTGATGTGCAGTTACCTTATCAGAATGGATATCTAAATGTCACTGTTATTCCTGAAGTAAAATAAATATTATTCATATTATGCATGACATTTGTCGTACAGTGTTGCTTGATGTCGCTCTCATTATCTCCTGCTATTTTCAACTGTCGTTTGACAAATGAGAAAGCTCCCGTATGCATGCCGAGATATGAATTGGCGTCATTGGCTGAGCGAAGTGCAGGGCGTAGCTATAAACTGTGAACACCATAAATTCTACAGCCTGTATACATTCTGTCTGAAACATTCCGGAAGGAATGCTATATTCATTGTCATTCGCAATCGAGTTGATGTCCTTAGAGATTTGTTGAAGTCAGTGGGTTTCAGAGCCTGTGGTAACATGGTCCCCACACAGAGCTTTCAGAGCTTTCATCCATTTTGCGAAACTATAAGTGACGGTGAACTTACTCAACTTACTTTACTCAAAGCTGAGTGACAGCCTGTTTTTCCCTTATTTTTTGACAACAGGATCATATTGCGTTTGTTTTCCTCATTCCGGCAACAATGAGCAAGTTTCAAAAGGAGACTGTTAACGATGACCCGACGTCTCTTTGATTTCTCACTTTGGAAGCGCTGAAGCCGCTGTAGTACACAAAAATGTGTTCATTTGATTCTTACTTTCATTCCCTCTTTTCTGATTGCGCAAGTGTTTCGAACACTCAGAAACATCGAATTCTCGTCGTCGAACTCTGAAGGCACTCATCAGTGCATCGATCCTCCATACGAGTGATTTCAAAGAAGCGTTAATGCCATTCAATAGTATTCAGTGATCGCAATTGGTTCGATCATGTAGTGATTGGTTTCAGAGCAGAGCGAAACTTCTTTCTTAGAAGTAGTGAAAAGTTTTAAGCATAATAAAATTCTCACAGAGTACAATTCTCAAGCCCAAATGAGGAAAGGTATTAGGTTGATGCATAGTTTTTTTCTCCCAGCTTTTTTGTAAATATCTCAAAAACAAGGTGATGGCCTATTTGTTCTATTCGAAATACTCTGTGGTAAGATGTCTGTTAATAGAAGCAAGCTTTTTTCTGCCGCTGATCTTCGCACTCGTGGCAGAAATGCCAAGGTTTTTATTCTCAGACTAGAACCAGGCTTCGAATAAATTTTTTCTGCCAACGAGCTGGGTCTGCCTTCAAGGGGAGGCTTGTCTAAAAGCTTTGCTCTATTTCGGAAACTAGTTGCCCAACATCTGCTGAAGCTTTTTCATAATTTGCTTACTCATTACTTTTTCTCCGAAATCTCCTATGTGTTTTAGTTTTCTGTTGTTTTCTTCCTATTGTTTTGTTCGTAAGTTCGCTTATTTGATTTGTGTTTTTGATTGTGCATTTCCTTAATGCGTTTATCTGTTCACCAGTCGGATCGCCCGGCTGTCGCCAGGCTCTCCTCCTTCTTGTGTTAGACACCCTATCCCTAGAAATGTTGAACTAAAGAATTTTTTCCCCTTCTTGAATGCTTAGAAATTTCAAGTGTTTTCCGCTGTTTAGCTGAGTTTGACTTCTTCCTGCTGTTTAGCTGAGTGAGAGTATGAAACTGAAACAGAGCTCGAAATCCTTCTTTGACACAACAGATATCGAAAGCTTCCCTTCTCTCTTGATAATGTTGTGGCGAGTCTAACCCTCCACTCCTTTTTTGAAACAAATGACAGTTTCCTGCACACAAAATTTGATACAGGACTAACAGGGTAGTGCAAATGGTATTCCCTTAAAGTGCATACGCCTTTGATTGGAAGTCTCGAACTTTTGCTCTGTTTCTTAGAAATCAATCCCCATCAAAAATCCAGCTGTTACACCATCAAAGATGATGCTGTGGAGATAGACTGAGTGATGATAGCAGCGTTATCGATGTTCTTTATCAATGAACCCTTTTCTTTACGGAGATATCATTAGTTGAGAATACCAGATTACAGACGGTCGATTAAGTTTTGTCGCGAATGATATCAAGCAAAGAGGATCCTTCATTGAATCACAAACCTTGCTGGGTAGCGGTCGTAATCTAATATTAAGAAAT